GTGAGCAATTCTCAAAGCATGATGCACACTTTTATTTATTCCAATACCTTGAAACAGTTTTTGAAAGCACTAAAGAATAAAATGATACATACCAGGCAGGCACCCAGAAATTTTCTGAAGGAAGAGCCCAAACTTATGAGGGGCCCCCATGGAACAATTAAAAAATTCACCAGGAAAAAATGTCTACCTGTTCCTCCCTACAGACGTTTTCAGTCCTAGGGAGGAACCCGATCCGCATGCTCCCCCTTCGGTGTGTGTCTGATACATACCGCAGTCGAGTCCATCAGTGCAAGTCTGATACAAGCTTTCCAGCCAAATCTATATGCCCTAATGAATGAAATTCGAGTAAATAAGGGTAAATCAATAAGAGTTGTACGGAGAATATGCGGCTATGCAATCCACTTATAATGTATTGAGAGGATATTCAAGACACTACCGATATCTTCAGATTTTCCATTAAAAATGATCCCATGAACCCGTTCTACAGAGAATCGAATGCGTGGTTCAATGATAAAGATAAGGGTGTGGGTGTGGGTATATAAGTGTGGATCTGGGATGTGGAAGTTCTTTTTGTACCCGACACAGTTTCATAAGAACCCACACTCACATACACAACCATACCCACACCCTCAAACTTTAGAATACATTTCCAGAGCAAACATGTCAACTTTTACCGGAAAAGCTCAAAAGATGCAATAGACAAAAGCCAACATTTTCTTTCTACTTACACATGCTTTGAGTTATGACAACACCAAGATTACCAATTGATAGGGCTCAGTCAAGTTACATTTGGAAACGTGTTGAAAGAGCTAGAAGAACTTCCTACAAGAATATCCACTGTTTGTAGTAACCATGTGATAGGAGTCATACGGTAATAAAATAGTATTTTGGGATTTTTTCACGAATGGTTTGAGCTATCGAAAATCCAACGTTACCAATCGATAGAGCTCATCGAGTTCTATTTTGGCACTGTCTGGAGCAGCTGGAGCAGCTTTGGGGCCGAATATCGGCTGGATTTGCTAACCCTATGGTAAGATTTCCATAGGAAATAATTAGTATTTTGGGTTTTTTTCACGAATGGTTTGACCTATCGAAAATCCAACGTTACCAATCGATAGAGCTCATCGAATTCTATTTTGGCACTGTCTGGGGCAGCTGGGGCAGCTTTGGGGCCGAATATCGGCTGAATTTACTCGAATATGAAGCTAACGTCATCTACGTGAAAAAATCGTAGTTGAGCGTAACTATGACTTTTTTTCGCAACTACACGAAATTACGATTCTTTGCAACTATGCGTAACTACGTCGTAATTTTTCTCAATTACAGGCTAGAGTGCAATTGCAGTTGCTAAAAAAGAGACGAGGGTGAGGAATTATTTTAAAGTGATGACACTTTATTTCACCTGAAAGCAACCTGTCAACTAAAGTTGGACAAAAAACACTTAAAATCTTTTGTTTTTCTTGTTTCAATGTTTTCATCATGAAATTATATTTGCATTCGCTTATCTGATAAAAAAAATATTATCTTAAATATGTTTCAAAATTCTCTTATTAGCTATTGCAAAAGCTCGGCACATTACGCAATTGCGAGAAAATAATGGCTAATACCTAATCTGCGAGACCAATTGCACAATCTTAGAGGAGAAACAATGCAATCAAATATTCTCAGCTTTGATGCATGAGCTATTTAGTGGGCTAGTATGAACGAAATCCGAGCATACAGAGAGAAATAAAAAAGATTTCTTCATCATCACGATAAATATAAAGGTACCTTAGCATTAGTAGAGATGACAAAGAGATCATTATATTTCAATCGATTCAATTCAGTCAATATGGTTTGTTTATTTGCGAAAATAATTAAAAGCACTGGTTAATTTTCTACTATATCACTATAAACTTGTTTTCTTCACTAGTAAAGTTGAACTTCAATCTATCCAACCCAAGATTACTATTTTTGGGATGGGTGTGGATGTGTGATATAAAAGTGAGCGTGAGTGTTACTTTTCTTATCATCCACGTCCACACCCATGTTGTTCTTGAGTGTATCGAAGAGAAAATTGGTTTTTCTGGCCCTCATTGTAATCAGCTAAAATAGATTCTAATCTAGATAAAACTGAATAGTCGAGTATTGTCTTCACGTGCAGATGAATTGATGCTTCAACGAATTGTTCGTCAAGTCGCTGCAAGAACTGTTTCTTTCAAACCTTATCTGACGAGCAATATTCTCGTGTGTCTAGAAGATAAGTCTCGATGTTCAATAAATGAGTCATTTTGGACATGGACGATTGAATTGTCCCGGAAGAGAACGACGAGCTCGTGAGTCTTCATCACATCAGGCACGCTCAATCCTATTTTCACATTTCCATGTATATATTTGTCTTTCATTTTTAATTACACGACCGAATTCCTTGTTATTCTCTAGCCCATCCTACGTATAGACAATAATTAAAACGGACAATTCTTGTCGATGCATAGCTAAACACGCATCATAATGAATATTATTTCGCTTCTTTGTTCTGTTGGTTATCAATTCAAATAGAATTCTTCACTTTTATCCCATTTATTTTTGACTGCATCAATAAATTAGTCGCGAATGAAAAAACAAAGTTAAATTCACTTCGACTTTGACTTTTCTGAACGGAACTTCGATAATATAGATAGGCTTGCTGATGATCATTCATAGATGAATATTTATTCTATTTATTTACGCACTATTGAAGGATAAAGAACAACTCTGTCGCTGCATTGGAATGGAATAATGGAATCGCAGTTGATCAAAGAGAGATTTTTTTCTCATTCGTGCACTTGTTGCTCTGATTGAGAGCTGTTGAGATTCAATTAAAGGTTCATGCATCTTGCATAAACTAGACAAATGGCAGTAGGAAACCTCTATAAGACTATCAAACTTCATCAAGTATCGTTTATTTGACTTTCTCTCTATCAGGTTGTTTGAGTAGATTGGTTTGACCGTTGAAAAAAAAACGAGAAGTTGATAATGATATACAGCCAGCACTGATCATATCGATGAACATATAGAAACATGTGGGCTTTATCTTCCAGGCACACGCACGTCCATTCACACTATCATATTCTAATTTTGGAAATGAAGAAATAAAGTTTAGAATTGAGAATAAAAATAATCTCTCCTGTTACGCTCACATTTGACTTATAGAAATAATGAAAATAAAAAATTTTGTTCCTATTAAACATAATTTATTCTATTTAGAGTGTTTCGACCACTGCAATAAAGGAGTACGCAAATTTCATGTTGACAATGATCATAATTCGCCTTATTTTATTCGTGTTCAAATTACTGAACAAAAAAATAATCGAAAATTTCCACCGAGAATGCAAATAATTTCTCTTATTTTGATTATTGCAAGAACACAAGAAAATAAATTCAAAAATAGAATGAGACTATTTTCTCTGGCTTTGATCATACTTTCATTACCGAAATTAGAGCAGAAAAAAAGAAATTTGCACTGGGTAAAAACTAACTTCTTATATTTCGATCATATTTTAATAATTGAACTGATGCAATGTAAGAATCGTGTTGAACATAAATATGATCTCTACGATTCGGATCATATTATTATTCAGATGATAAAGTGTAAAAAAAATCGTGATCTTGATGAATATTATCTGCACTATTTTCATCCTGTTTGGATCATTATAATAATGACACATAATGTGTGTTGTTGGCAAATAAAACCTCTAATTTCAGTCATATTGTACTTAATGAAATTAATAACTATGCAAATTGTATTGTTGCAGAGAATGTATGTGTAGAGAAGATCCACACACAAAGTATAACTGCTCAATTAATAAAGATCTATTTTGTTTAATAGTTGCGTTTTATTAGTTTTTATTTCTTATAACGTCATACAATTCTATGACTATGTTTTACATCACGAAAAAAAAGTTAAAATCGAATCTATTCTATGCTTCAGTTGAAGATTGTTTTGCTAATATATCTCGAATTTGACATAATACTTTAACTTCTTCACTTGTTTCAATTTTTTTATTTTCTTCTTTTTGTTTCTTTTTTGCTGTAATCTGATGTAATTTATTAATCGCCTTAATGATGAAGAATAATACAAATGCTATAATTAATAAAGATAATATTGTTTGAATAAATTTTCCATAGCGAATAACAACAGGTGGTTGATCTTTATAAACAAAATTTTTTATTGTAATTGTTAAATTAACAAAATCAACACCACCCAATATAAGACCAAATGGAGGTGTAATTATATCATTGACAAGTGATTGAACTACACTAGTAAATGCTGTACCAATAATAATACCAACTGCTAAATCAACTACATTTCCTCGAAGAGCAAATCTATTTAAATTCAGAAGACATAAAATGAAAGAATAAAGTATGAATAGGTGAGGGAGAATAGCTAATATGTTTGGCTCTCAAATATTAGCATCATATTGAAGCCTTTCTTGTCGTAGTATCATATTTTTATGATCCTCCTTTGTTATACATAAAGAGTATCCCATAATAACTGAAGATAAATTGTTAATGATATTTTTCATTCTTTTTTAACACATATATATCTAATCAAGATCTTTTATTTCTGAAAGTTTCAGCTTTCTAGGTATAACTAATGATGAAATACACTAACAAGATTGAAATAGATACATTTTCCTACTCGTTTTTTTTTTTTGGATATCATTTTGACAGTGAAAATAATGCAAAAATCGCGTAGAAAAATTTATTTATTTCAAGCTTGCGATGTATTTTACTACTAGTTATAGGTAGATGATTGAAAATTTCAGAAATAAAAGATCTTCATTAGATATACATGCGATAAAAATGTCAGCTCTTTACATTGCGAAAAAATATGAAAAAATATCATTAGCAATTTATTCTTAGTTACTTTGGGACACCCTTTATATCTCAAGGTACTCGTTTGTCAACTATTTAGATATTCCGATTGTCAACATCATTGCTTATGTTTCATGATATCTCAATTAATTGTTTTCGTGATAAAGTTATTCGTAATTAGCACTATGTTGCTTTAATGTCAAACATGAGTAAAATTTTGAATAAATTACGATAACATAAATGAAATATGAATACATACGCTTTGAATTCGTTACAAAAATTTCGACAACAAAGACAAATACCAGCCATATGGTCGAATGTTAAGATTGTATGCTTAAATTGTTACTTTTTATTTCTTAGCTACGTAATGTATGATAAGAAAAGGAAAAAATAGAATAGTGTGAAGGAGAGAATAAATTTCAGCGTCAGGTATTCATGATCATTAAGAAAACTCAAACAAACTATGTAAGAAAAAAGTCACACATCTTTTATATGAAGATGTTTTAGACAAAGAATTTTGTCTTTGATAAGAGAAGGATAGAAAAAAGATAGCGGTGGTACTGTCACTTTCTATCTAAAAAAAAAGGAAAATACTTTTCTTTGCTAAAAACAAGAAAATTTTTTACTTTCCTTTTGCTAAAAGCGAGTGAAGTAAAAAATTTCCTTTCTTTCCCTTTCCTTTCCTTTTGGAAAATAGAAAGAAAGTAAAAGTGTTATCTCTAAAAAAAAATACTAATTAAGGTGATAAATAACAGGAACAGTTGGTCTTTGTGTTACGTGCTGACTCAATTTCGGGCCAATGAATTCAAAGAAATAAAAACAAAAAAGAAACTACTCATGCTGTTCTGTACTAGAATATGCCTATGTGATTTTTCTTTTATCTTGTAGCATTCGTTGATTCATATGCTAAAATATATTTTATTTCCATATTGAATATGTCATACTTGAAGTTAGTTGCTGAAAAGCATTCTGATGCAGCATGAATAAACAATTTTTCACGCTGTTATAATGTAAAAATGGAATAGTCTACAAGGAAAAGCTTTTCAATTATTTATTATAAAAATGATTATGTTAACATGGGCTTTGATTAGTCTTTAAAAAAATTAAAAATATTATTATCTATTAGACTTGGTTTGACGAAAACTTTACGGATGATTGTTGTGCTAATAAGTCTCGAATTTCACGTAATACTTCAAGTTCGTCAGTTACTTCAATTTCGATATCGGTTTCGGTTGTTGTTTTATTTCTTTGTGCTATCTTATGTAAATGATTGATTGCTTGAATAACAAAAAAAAGTGCGAATGCCACAATGGTTAAAGAAATTATTGTTTGAATAAATTTTCCATAACGAATAACAACAGGCGGTTGATCTTTATAAATAAAATTTTCCATTTTAATTGTTAAATTAACAAAATCAACACCACCCATTATAAAACCCAATGGGGGTGTAATTATATCATCGACAAGTGATTGAACTACACTAGTAAATGCTGTACCAATAATAATACCAATGGCTAAATCTAACACATTTCCACGAAGAGCAAATCTATTTGATTGAAAAAATATTAAAAGTAAAAATGTAAGAATAAATACATACGCTTTGAATTCTTTACAAAAACTTCCACAACATTGACTTATACATGCCATGTCTATCTAAAAAAATATATCAATATCGTTTTGTCTTATGAGATTTTATAAAACATAGTTTTTATATAGTCTGAACCTTTTTTACAAAAAAAAATCTGTTTCATAAGTAATCCAAAATAACACGAAGTTTTCAGGACATTTTTATGTTGAAAACATGATTGAGACTATTTTAGAAAATTTTCCGGCGCTAAAATATCCAGAATATAGATCAATAAGCTCAGGTCTCGGAACAATCTTCATTGTGCTTTTTTCAGAACAATACTTCCGGATATAAAACATGTCTGTTCTGTTACTGAAATATCGCTTCCAAAACCGAACAAAATTTCTCGAACAGCTCAGTTCCAGGAACTTAACTGTTTCAACAGATTTTGTGATATGAGTTGATATGTTCGAACACCAACGGAAATCAGTAAGATAAGCTTTCACTCACTTCGAGCCAAAATCTCAACAAATAAATGTTTATAAAATGAAGTCTAATGCAACTCTGACACGTATGTTGACTTGACTAGAATCATCAGACATGTATCACAACTTCATCTAACTTCATTTTTCCTGAACATTTATTTGTTTCAGCTTTTGGCACAGAGTGACTCAGAGCATCTTTTGCTATACTCACTTTGAACTAAAAGTCGGTCGACCCCTAATTTGGAAACCGTTCTATCCTATAAGACTTATTCTTTCTGATTGTATACTATGTATTTTGTATCAGTGAAGAAGAATAAAATGGCAAGTTTCTGTATGTTTGACATTGAGATACCAGCGTACAAATGAAAAATGGCATTCATTATTTTATTGCAATATCTTTCATCGTTTCGGACTGTCATTAGTCTTACCCTTATGAGGAAATCAACCGAATGTTGATGTTCTATGTTCCATGTTCTTCGTTATACAGAACAGAATGATAATAATAAACCACAGATAAGACAAGATCAGCAATGCTCTTTTTAATGTCTAGGAATGTGTATACAAGATATTATCTCTTGCTTCATTTTCTCACATGTTTTTTCATAGAACACATACAGATAAGTTCTATACTTTTTGTATCACATCTCATACTTGAATGGAAACGTAAGATATTTTCTTGACGAGATTGTCGATTATAGTCAAACAAGCAAAGAAAAAAAAGTCTTTTATAAAAACTTAATTTTAATCCATGCAAAACAAACCAATCATATTTGGATTATAATCTAGTAAAAGAAAACAGACTTTTATAAATAGAAAAATCAAAGATGAAAAGAAAAGATAAAATCTTTTGTTTATCTTTTAATAGACAAAATGTAGAACAACATTGAATTGGCAAAAAACCTACAGAGTAATGTCCAATCTTAAAAACTTTGAAATTTCATTTTAAAAATGGGTGAGACAGATTAAACAACATGGACTTGCAATTCAATTTTCAATCTTTGAATACATTGTATTAAAAAGTCAAAAAGAACCACAAGATGCACCATTAACAGCTCAACAATCAACAAAGTGTAATACTAATTTTAATTGTGTATCTTTTGTTTTTACACTAAGCGGCGTTCTATGAGATCAATGTTCGACGCTGTAAACGTAATCATTTTTTTTGACACATTATCGCTTCGTTTGTTTATCTCATTGATGAAAAACAATTCTATTCATTGTTAAAAAAATATTTCTTATTAGAATATGTTTATACTACAAGCTGACAAGCAGCAGACGAACAATGAGATATAAAGCAAAAGGTCAAGTAGTCAGAAAGATTTATGGTGTGGTTAGGCACATCTAAAAATGGTCTTACGTCACGCACTGTGCTAAATCTGGTAGAACATTATTATTACATGAAAATTATATTGAAGTTGTTATTCTACAAGTAGTGCCTTTCAATAAGACAATATCACGTCACATATACATCAGGAATCATTATTATGGTGCGAAGAAAATTTCATGTATGTTAGAGACAATAACACTATGACCATCAAATAGTCTTGATGTCAATGTTCCGAATTATTACATGTGAAACACTATCACCAACAATATGCAATGTGATAAAGTTCAATGAACTATAATTCATTAATTGATGAAAATACGAAAAGGAGTTTTTCATCTACTAATAAAGGATTTTGTTGGCAACATCGAAATTTCGTTTCATAGAACTTCGTTCAATTGAAAATAAAAAGTGTAACTATGAAATAAGCTATCTTTATACTTTTTAGAGGTTTTTACACTACATCATCACAGAAAAGCTCAAGACTAATTAATTAATTTTTCTGCTTCGTCGATACTTTCTAGTCAGCAGTATTGTGTCAAGAAAAATAAATGGAATATTTCATTAGAGAAACTTATTATAATAATAGAGATGAGAATATGATTTAATAGCTCATTCTTGAATCTGTTAAAATATACATTGATTGTAGTGAAAATTATAATCGTTAATAATTGCACTAAAGAAAAATATTATTCAGAGCACAAATAGTCCGATAGTGTCATTATTGTTTAGTTTATTCCATTCTCTAAGACAAGATTTCTTCAGTAAAAATTCTGAAATTGCTCAAATCTACTAATGTGACTGTTTCATTTTCATTTCTATTATCACTCGTTAATATTCTTGCGATTATTCTTTCTTGAAACTTCTGTCGGATCCTTATAATTCAGATATAGTATCTCTATACTTCACCACGATACATACTTTCATAGTACGTCGCAATCAACTTTATCCTCTGGAACTGATAAATATTCAATTATTGTTGAAATTTTTGGAGTCAATAGAGCCTTTATTGATTCATTCGATAACTCTAGCCCATTAAGTTGTACACAATACATATTAACTGTCGTTGTGTAGAAACAAAACAATTGAGGTTCAGATGTTCGTATACACAGAACGACTCCAAAGTCAGAAAACACAGAATTTTTTAAATTCCTTCTTTGTACATAGTTAGCTACGCCTCATATTTATACTACATGCATAGTTTTCTCGGCTTATTTCGATCTTGTGAAATGAACTTGATTTAATTAAATTTTGTACTGATTCAGTCTAAATGAGGTCAAAATTAATTACACGAGATTCATTTCACAGATCAGGATAAGTACACAAAACCATTGAATGTGGAAAACATTGAATTTTCTCTTACAGTCGTAGATGAGAAATAAGACTGAGTATGTGCTCCGTGTTTTACTAGTATCACCGAGTACACGTGGTCATGTACAAAGAAGAAATCGAAAAAGTTCTATGTTCCCTTAGTATGAGGCTCACCTTGTACATTCATGCACAGAAATATGATGTACTAATTGTCGTGAAAAGTCAGATAAGAATATTTTAATCAAAAAAGAATTTTGTCGGAACGTCGAGAAAATTTAGGTATCTTGTAATTCTTTCAACGTTGTTATTTTGTTTTGTTTTTTTTCTATCAATCAAGAAAGACAAAAAAACTAAGAATATTAGTTTTTATGTTCAATTGATTGATATAATGATTTTAAATCAAAATATGATTATTGTTAAATTTTTATTTTTATTTTTTCATAACAAAGAAATGTGCATAGCCTTATATTCACCGGAGTTTATATTTAGTTTTGGTTTATTAATATCTGACAAATAGAAATCGAGCACAAAATAGAAAAAATAAGTAAATGATAATCTATCGTCGAAGTTGCTGATGAAGACTGAGCATTTGTGATGAAACTAATGGTTTCTATACAAAAATAAAAACAAATAAATAGAATAATATATATATATATATTCAATAAATACTTGAGCATAGAAAGAAGGTGGTTCTTGTGTTTTAAGTCGTTTTGCAACAGGTTCATGATTTTCTTGCATAGCCTAACAAATGAATAATAATTAATATAAATTTAATTCAATGTTTATTCTTACAAGAAGATGTACATGTGTATGTTGTTCTGGTACAAGAATCATCTTATGAACAGGTGCATGACAATTTTCTTGTGTTACTTGTATTGATGATTCTTCAATCGGAGGAGGTGCAGGTTGAGCAGCTGGTTGTTGTTGTTGTTGTGATTGTTCTTCTTCTTCAACAATAAACTCTCGTCTTCCATATGGAATTTCCATACCATAGAAAGCACTAATAAAATAAAATAAAATAAAATGTTTTTCTTTCACCAAATGTATAGGCATACTCTGGATGAGGTAAGGGTGATTTTTTAAAAAACGCATCAGTAAGAGCTTGTTCAGCTGTAATACGTTTATTAGGATCAAACGTTAAAAAACGTTTCATTAAATCTAATGAAAAACTTGGATGTCCATTAGGAAAAACTTTTTTCATCCATTGTTCTATACTACAATGACCATAACTAAAACAAAAAAATAAATAAAAGCAACGAAATAAATAAATCGAAAATTTTCTTGAAATAATTACTGAATAGCTCGAAAACCTTCTTTACTCAATCGTGGATGATCAGGCATTTGTTTGATACCGGGCCAATCATTATCTAAAAATATTTTATCAATTTAATATATATGATAGTTCATAAATAACTAGACAATAAAACTATTCAATATCTTCAGTGTACTTAAGTTAATCGCGCTGACTTTTTTTCTTTTCAGATGATAGAAGATTCTTCAAAGGTTTTATTCTCACAAGAAAACCGACAATGGATAATGTTAATTAAAGTACACTACTGACCAAAAGTATCCTCCTCGACGCATTCAAATATAGACGATAATTCCTGTTCAACTCAAGCGAACGAAGCCGAACCGGTCTCACTAATCTATATTTTTAAAATAGTGTATGTGCTAACAATGTCATATACCTAGCCCTGAGAATAACTGAGATAGTTTTGGTCAATAATGTTAGTTCTATACTGTGTCTATTCAAATGTTTTCTTGTCCAATGCATTGTATATGAAGACTATAGATGTATTGTGGAATTAAGGTTTTGAAAAACTAAACACAGTATTTTGCAGATCCTAGAAGGCTTTTTCGATGGCTACGTCTCTGAAAGAATACAAAATTCCTAACCATATGAAAACTTAGCAGTTTTCTATTAAATCCTTTTAGTTGCTTTCTCTTGTGAGTCTTATAA